CATGGCACTTCTCACTCCTCGAGTCATATAATTTCATTTTTTGTCGATATCAACCGATTCTTAAAGGCATTTTCTTGTGGAAAATTTAGAATGACATCCCTTCCTGTAAAATTTGTGTAAGTCCAGCATTCCTGATGGATATATTCTTTAAAATCGTAGTTTTAGTGTTCAAATTTTTTATTTTCCTATATGCTTTCAGACAAAAAAAACACATGACACGGTCTTTTGCGTCGCGCATGCGCATTAACCATGGGGGGACAGGAAATTCCGCGAGTTACACAACTGAATATCATTAAACTGTGGTTATATGCTTCCACTTTGGTTTTCACTCGTTTCCAATTCGAAGCAGGGTTAGTAACTTGGCCTTTTTGCGGCCAAATAACTCGATTGTAGCTTTTTTATTTCTGTTTGGCCTTGAAAAAAATGTTTGGCCTTTTATTTATTTATTTATTTACTTTGCCATCATACTTATACATTCATGGGCTGGGAAACCACAACAGCTATTGCCAATTACAGCGGCCTCAATAGTTATACAGAAATAATTTACAAGGTATACTAAGCACACACAGACCTGCCAACTCTCACGATTCTACCGTGTCACACGATTTTTGTACATTTCTCACGGTCTCACGACATGACTCAGGTTTCTCACGATTTTAATTCTTTATTTCATTTCTTGCAATTTACTTTGTCACCTCTACTTTAGTTTGATACTAAGATTTTATTCAGATAGAAATTACTTGTTTATAATTCTTAAATTCCATAAATTGTGTCATTAATATACCAAATATTGACCTACATCAAATTGTGAATCGAAATGAAATTCTGAAAATTCTGAAAATTCTTGAATTCTGAAAATGTTCGGACTTTGGATGTAATATAATTAGGTAGTGTGTTCCATATTCTTGATGTTCGGATTTTGTAAGATTTTTCATAGGTTGACGTCTTGTATGTAGGAATTTTATATTTGTGCGAGTTGGGATTAAATGATCTTGTCTGTCTTTGACCCTGAGGTTGAGGAAATGCAAGAATTTTTTTATTAATATTAAATAATAAAAATGTCGTGATTTGCCTTATAGAAGAATACTACATCCAGGTATTCGTGCCGGGAGCGAACTGGTTGCGAGGAGTCGGTCTCTATATCAAAATTCTGTATCACAAATAAAGGGAACATTTAAAATATATTTAGTTGCACGCCTCTGAACTCGTTCTACTCTTTTCACCAACTCAACTGTTTGGGGCGCCCATACTTGGGTGGCATATCCTAAGTGTGAGCGAACCAGAGAAAGGTACAGTGTTCGTCGAATTGCAAACTCGCGAATATTGAAAGTTGATCTTCGAATATAACCATGCAGCATTTTATTAGCTTTGTTACTTTGTTGTGTAACTCTAGCTTTGACCAAGTGAGATCGTAATTCGTCCATACACCTAAATCGAGTTCGCAATCAGTCTTTTCTAGTATGGTATCTTGTAGTTGATAATATCATGATGAATATACCACCGTTGATCTGCGTGACTGCGTTAGTGTTGTATGTTTTTCTGTTTATTTATTTTAGTGTCTTTTTTTGCCTTTTAATTGAATATATATAACACTAAATTACACTAATATGTCATAAAATAATAATATTCCTGTAGTCGAACATATAAGACATATAATAACAACATATAAGTTGATTTGTATTTGTATGTTTTTCAGTTTATTTATTTAAGGTAATTCCGCAGTAATTGTTCCCGAAATGAGAATGTGCTGAAACTTCCCAGGCATGGAGTTTATGATATACTTAAAGTAAAATCACACAAATAAGTCGGGGTCACCGAACTCGTTAAGAAGTATGACAATCACAATATACCACCTTTACCCCAATCTGGCGCCATCTTGACGCTCATTACGAGTAACAGCAAACTCACAACAGCCCGATATTTATTGACGTTTTTAGCGCGGATTTTGCTTTAGTAAACCTATCTTGTAATTATTTTTTAAAAAATATTGTGTTTTGAGCAAAATGAAACTACTAACGTGTAAAAATTCTGATCCACAAATGTCTTTTCCACATTTCTTTACATATCTTTCTTTGAGAACATGCATTGATAAAAACATTATTTTTCAAGATCCAGAAATGATTTTTCTTTTAATTTCGGATATGAAATGTAAAATGCATTAAAAAAATAAATTATCAGTTAAAAAACGGGGGTCACCGATCTTTTTAGGGAATTGTGGCACTCTCCTCCGCAGAGTCTGAATTATATTAATTTTACTAAAAATTCGTAAGGCTCTGCGGAGGAGAGTGGAATTGTGGCATTAAAACGCGAAATACAAGTAAATAAATATACTACAGACACAGGAACCCTAGCTACACTTTTGTATGCCTGTTTTTGAAAACATTGATTTTAACGTAATTCTTTGCTCTTGTCCTTTCGTTTCAGGGCCGTCTCCCGGGTTTTCGAAATGAAAAACCAATAGATAGGTCCTGAAGGGGCAAAATTGGAACACGATTTGCCTATTTTTGGATTGGTGATTATAAATTATATAATAGCTGAATTCATATTAGAGACGGGTAACAGGCCCGGTAACTCGTCTAGGACGGGAAACCTCTCTCTGAGTAAAGTTAAGATAAACACATGGGAGATAAAAACAAACAAAACCCTGCGATACCATGGTGTGACACTAATCTTCTAAGGAGTTTTCATGAACTAGTAGGATAATCTAACGGACTGCGCCAATGTACACTACTTGAAAAATACAAGGAGAACTTCGACGTTTCGTCGGCCTTTATCATGCCGCAGACCTTTTAAGAATTGTTCAATTTTGCAAAATCAAAATCAAGGACTTTCATGGTTTTTAAGGACCCGCGCGTATATACTAATCTGTAACAAAGCCTTTTCGCAGAAAAGTTTCGGCAAGTTTTGTTACGAGTACTTCACCCTAAAAGTATGTACTCGAGGAAAAACTGCGGTGCCCGAGATGCTAAACGTTCACCACCATAAATGTCGAAGAATGGCGTTTTAAGTTGCAGTCCAAATTTGCCCCACTATTATTACACTGAATTGCGAATTTCATACATATTATATTTTTCAGGTAAAGGAACAAATATAAGGCTATTAGTAAAACACGGAACACACGGAGCAGTAGAAAAACGAAAATCCTTTATAATAAAATACACTGTTTACTATTACAAATTTTTGTTATTATTAATAAAGTTTTTTCGCGTTTTACACGTTGGGGAAGTAAGAAAATTGGGCTTTTAAAAAATACATATGCAAAACTGCCAAAAGCCATAGTTGTATTTAAAATAGGATTGTGAAACTCATTATCTTACATCTATCAAGCTTATGTAGTTAGGCGCACACGATGCGATTTTAGTCGGCCGATAAAAAGCGTTTGACTAAAACTAACAAAATCGTTGTGTGTGCGGTGTCATTTTTAACCGATTTTTGTTGCTCGATTTTAATCGGACGACATCAAAACGTTTGATATTATACGATTTTTATCGGTGGAATTTTAAGTATAACCAATCAGATTTCATGCTGTGATCACGTGCTTGTATATTATGGCGGCTACAGTTCAGGGAGCGTATTTGTTTCGTAATCGTGTGCGGAGTATACCGATGTATATAGGTATGTCAAACGATTTTTAATGTTTATATATAATTTACTCTCTATATTATATTATATTATATTATATTCCGATGGGGTGATGGCCAACGCATAAAGAAACACTTCAGAGGAAACACTATAGACTAACAGCCGATATATTTCGTTACCCCTACCAAAAAATAGCCAAGTATACTCATTTTCAAGGTAGCGGATCGACTGAACATTAAATCTTGTGATGAGAAAAGTGAATTTTCGGTTTTATCCTTCGGCTCAGTGACCAATGGCGGCAGTGTGCTGTACGCCCTACGGCTACGTTTAAACCGTTATACAGTACATCATTACTGCTTTCATTCTTTCAATCCGTTTTGAATATTCGGAATCATTCACAATATTAATAAAACTGTATAGGATAGCTGTAGAACTATCTATGCTGTAGAATATAATAAATAAAGAAAACTAAGTTTTATCGCGGTATTTGCCGATAAATCGGTAATCGTTACAGAAAAACAGAACAAATTACAGTAATAATTAAATCACAACAAACCCGGGAGGTTGGACAATTTTTGTCTTTTCACTGTAACTTGTAAGACATGTAGAACAAATACGAAATCCATACAGAAGTGTGTGTGTATTCTATACTTTTGAAACAACTAAATCAGACTTCAGAAAATTTGACAGTATTAAAGGAATAAAGCTGCTTTTGAGAATTTAGATTTTAGGTCTTCGTTTTACATGTACCCAGACTCCCAGTAAATATTTTGGAGTTTAGAATTTTGATTCTCAACTACTCAAGCTATTTAAATTAATATATGTGTATAAATCGACACCAACGCCACAAAGGCGAAAACGAGGTCAAGATCGTAAGAATCGCTTGTAAACATGAGCAGTTTCGAGCATAAACATGAAATTGAAACGAGTAATTTAACGCATTTGATTGACTATATACTAAATTCAGGAAGCCAGTCAAGTGTACGTGTATTTGTTACAATTTATTCTGGGGTTAGGTTAAAACGCGGAAGCGGATGCGGAACGGATATGCGGAACGGAACGGATATGGGGTTAAAATGCGGAACGGATATGGGGTTAAAACGCGGAATGGAACGGGAATAAAACGTTTTTTAAAAACAGACATGATTTTTCATGTTCCGCGTTTTAACCCAATATCCGTTCCGTTCCGCATTTTAACCCCATATCCGTTCCGTTCCGCATTTTAACCCCATATCCGTTCCGTTCCATTCCGCATTTCCGTTCCGTATTTTAACTCCATATCCGTTCCGTTCCGCATATCCGTTCCGTTCCGCATTTTAACCCCATATCCGTTCCGTTCCGCATATCCGTTCCGCATCCGTTCTGTTCCGCATCCGCTTCCGCGTTTTAACCTAACCCATTTATTCTGCCGTGCTGCACGGCAGTCGGCACATGTAACAAATATACACGCTCTTATATACTGCTCCGTACTCCGTGTGCTCCGTGTTTTACTAATAGCCACAAATATAATACGCAACATAATTATTATGTATTTTTACAATATTTCGTCATAACAAAGTTTAAAATCACTGTAATGTATACATTAAATAACAAAAAACGTTTTAATTAAAGCATAGACAATCCAGAAGACATGTCTTCTGGATTGTCTATGATTAAAGTGATATTACAATCTTTTTATAGCTCAATATAGACAACATTGTATTTTGAGGACTTAACTCCCCAATGACCAATGTGAAAATGAAATGTATATTTATATCGAGGTGCATCTTATAGAACTAATTGCGATAAACGATCGTGACTAAAACACCACACGAGTACATACGAGTAACATACGAGTAACACACAAGTACATACGAGTAGCATACGAGTACATACGAATACATACGAGTACACACGAGTAACATACGAGTACACACGAGTAACATACCAGTAAATACGAGTAAAATACGAGTACATACGAGTAAAATACGAGAATTAGCACGCTTTCTTTAAAGTTTCTTTCACTTTCACACTTTCACTTTGGCTTCGTATTATGTTCATGTTGTAAATGCCTTATTGACATAGGCGTACGAGACAGGGGGGGGGGGCAACTGCCCCCCAAAATTTTGGAAAACCATGGAAATTCGGCAAACGCTAGGAAAAATCAAGAAAATTCGGGCAGATTTATGAGAAAATATGTTAAAATCAGGTTATTTCTTTACAATTCTCCATAAAAATTCAGGCAAACTTCAACTCCCCCCCCCCCAGAAAACATCAGCCCCGTTCTCCTATGCGTATTGATGGATTTCGAAGCCTCGCACGACGTAGAAAAAGTAATTCATTAATATAGAATAAAGATTTGTATGTTCTAAGACACCGGCTAAAAAGGTTTAAATGTAGTATATTGCTCACAGGCTGTCAGAGAGTTTTTGTAGTACATGAAAGTGCATGTTTGCCATGTTGTTTATACGTCTGTAGTCTATGTGTTTTGCAAATTTAATACGTGAATTGTACACCGGGAAATATAAAATACTTAGGGTTCATTATTTATCGGTTGGGGAGGGGGGAAGGAGCTGTTGGATTCTAAAATTCAAACAACATAATAAAAATGACCCTCCCTTTTAATGTGTTTAAAAATGTAGTCCACCCCTTTAGAACAGTCTGAAAATTTTTCACCCCCCTCCAACATTAAAGTTAAGAAGAACATAGTATGGCCGCATGGTAGTTCTTCCCATCCTATTCTTTTGAGTGCTCTTTACAACCAGCGGCGTAGAGAGAACCTTCAACTTGGGGATGCTGGACAGGATTTAGCCTTGACTAAGTAAGTAGATATGGCCCCAAGAAGAAAGGGTTTACTTTGGGTTTTTAAATGTAAAATATACTTTACTTTCAATCATCATTCGGTTTTAAAAGTAATTCGCATTATTTTAACCCATCATTTTCCATCACGAAAAATCATGTCTTTTATGCATTATACAGTCTTCGGACTTATGCAAACTCACACCCCGAAAATGCAGGAAATCGCATTTCAGGGACTCTAGATTTCAAAATATTCTGGGGGAGCATGCCCCCAGACCTCCCCTAAAATGGCTCACACCTTTTACGCCGGCTACGCCACTATCTCTCTACTATCTTCTTTATTCTTTATATCAATGCTATAAAATTTTATTGTCTCCCCAAAACCATTCTTTTTATTTTTCACCCATAAAATATATCCCC